AGAGAGAGAGAGAGAAAGGGGGAATGAAAGGAAGAATGAGAGAGAGGGAATGAGAAACAGAGAGAGAGAGAGAAGGGGAGAGAGAGAGAAGGGTAGAGAGAGAGAGAGACCAACCTGCCACCATCAGCATGGAAGACGACGGACTCCTTGCCTGTACTGATCACTCCTGTCACGTTATCCAGTATCCCAGCATTCACCAGTTTGTACAGGATCAGACGGGTTTTCGGATCAACAGCTTGTTGCTGAAAAATTCAAATAGTGTTATCATTCTAAATCACCAAATGGAATATTATTACTTTTTTTGTTGGTGCCACAGGTTCTAATTACTCCAGAAATAGTCCATAGCCTATAACCCAAGTGCCCCTTTAGTTCTTTAAGCTGATGTTATTAAGTTATAACCACATACATTTTATTTCAACATGTTGTAAATTTCAACATGTTTCGTTTAATCACCAAGGTACGCCCCATCCTAAAGCTTTCACATAACAACAGCTTTAAACTGTTTTTGATGTTTAAATATTTAGTTTTTGAGTGGGTCTAATTTTAAAGATAGAAACTTACATAATCAACTTTCACATGTCTTGTTTTCCTTCAATTCACTTCCAAAAATTCTTAACTATTCTCACACATCTCATGTATCTCTGCATACTTACTGCTGTTGAGTGTTCTTTCTTCTCGTGAAGACGCTGACTTTTCTTGTTTTCTGACACAGAGTGCTGCTTCAGTTTGTTAAAGACGTGATTTGGAAGCTTGAGGTCCATTCCCTTGCCATCACCCGTCTCAAATTCTGGTGGAAACTATTAAGAGACAAGAAAGAGATCACAATAATAAATACCTGTAAGCTGCATTATCTTTTTACTATACTAGTAAAAATATCTGCAATGTAACTTATATGAACAGGTATTGCCCTAAGTAACAATTTGAAGTATTTCAATTTGATTTTTATTTCAGTGGGAAATATTCTTTCTGTAGTCCCAGTTTTAGAAACATTTCTAGTTATCCAAACCAGTGGGTCAAATTCTGCTGTTACTGACAAAAAGCTGAGTCAAGTTGCATGGCTAATACGCATTAATGGGTAAAAATATGTTGTTTCTAACAAAAAATCAGGTCAACTTCAGTTGTCAGTAACAAATAACTTTCAAATTTTACCTTCTCCATCTTGGATACATTTCTCTTTCCACAAATAACAGGGTCATGCTTGGTTGTAATATTCTTCCCTTTACCAGAGTAACCAGCCTTGTTGAAATTAGGCACGGGTTCATCTAAAAAACAAAAAAAGACAGAGTTCAAAGTACCAGCAATTATCTATAACTAATTAAAAGCTAGTATTATGATAAACACAAATTTAAAACATGTGCCTTACTGATGTATTTTTTTCTCATAATTTATAGTCATATGCAGAAGCATACAATACTCTGATATTAACCCTACCTATTTTTCAAATATTTCTAATATATATTTACTTATGCTTCTCGAGATACTCATACAGAGTCATTTAAAAGCTGTAATAGTTTATTTAAATATGGCTAGGCAAAAATGAAACAAAAACATCTTTCCAACATTTCACAAATTTTGTTCAAATGATTAATCTGGAAAAAGTTGACTTAAAGGGGAGTGGCACGAGGGTGATGTTTAATTACATATAAAACTATAGGGTATGGTGGGGGTGATAATTTCTATACCAACCTTTGTAGACATTGGTCACCCACGTTAGATCGTCATCCTCGCTGTCACTGTCCTCCTCCACATACGGGTGAACTGTACGGTAGTTGGAGAAAGACAAAGATACTGGAAAAAGTAAAATCAAAAATATCTTCTATTCTGTTGCTACTCATCAGTTACTTTTTACACAGAAAAATCACATAATTGATGATATCTCTGTTGAAGTGATCAAGGCCCTTTTGAAGGACTAAAATACAATACTCTTAATAAGGTGAAAACCCTTCCCTTTAAGAAATGGTACTTTTAACCACCTTTGCAGAAGTGCAGGTGAAAATCTATTTGAGCCATTGATTAATCTGTCAAGAAATATTTCTATTTCTTATTGTTTACATAAGAAAAAAATTCATTAAAAAAAGTCTTCAGTTTGATTAAACCCACCTTTACTCTGGCCATTCAACTTGGCTTCTTCCTTGGACAGCATTAAATCGTGTTCCTTGTCGTATTCTAACTGGAGTAACTGTGCCAATAAAAAGTCACTGTCTTCATTTGTCTCACTTCCTGGCTCTGGTAACATAGCTGACAGGTCTGGGACTGGCTCACTAAAATGTTGGGATAATAAAGGTAGAAAAGAGATTTCGATTACAGTCAACAAAGCACTCTAGCCTGAAGACTGGTCTGATAAACTTATGGTCCAAAAAATTTGATCTCCTTCAGTTTAACAAAAGCTCACAGTTATCAGTATAAGTTAATTGAAGTGGATTATGGTGTATACTAGCATCAGCCATATCAAATGTTGTATCCTTAACACAGTCTGTGTGAGTGTGTGTGTGTGTGGGGGGGGGGGGGGGGGGGGGGAACAATATCACAACTTGTCAGTGTGTATAAAAATGGTGCCTTTGTGCAATTAATCAAATTTCTTTTAAGATATTTCAGCAGTTTTGTCTTTTGTCAGTTTTTACAATATTCTTTAATATGTTCTTTTAAAGATATATTTATTGATTAATGTGACAAGTGAGCCAGCCTCTAATGAGTATTTTCACTCACCTGGCCGCCTCAGATTGAACATTGATGACCCTCTTAATAACGTCCTCTTCGTCCCTTTCCTGTAACTCATGAGCTAACTCCTCACTCATGACTTCCTCAAGTGAGCAGATAGTAGGTGTGGTTGCTGTTCCCCACGGGGAGGAGGGGGTACTTGTGGTCTTACCCCAAACACTTGGTGTGTTTATTGGTCCCTGAGAACTTTCCATCACAGTAGCGTCCATGTTTACAATGTCTTATATAATTTCTGTACAATATTTACAATGTCTTTGGTATTTGGCACTTTTAGTGATAAACCTGATATATACCCCCGAGTCCTTTTAGGGTTATAAATCAGGATTTGTGTTGTTAACTCGTGCTTAAACTTGTTGCGAGTCCTCGTTGCTCTCCTTAGACGTAAGTAGTGCAAAGTCTTCCTTCTGTCTGCGATACTGTGCGCACTCTCTCTGTTTAAAAATAAGTCCTTCTGGATAGTTTACAACTCTATAAATATCACTAACTAGGTGAATACGTCACTTGGTTTCCCAACCAAGTGAAATTGCACAAAAACTACGCGCTATTCTACCAGATTGCACAACAACAGCGACAACCGGAAGCAGCGGTTGGGTCGCTTCTTGGTTATCTATGAATTGAAAAAGTTGCAGAAGTCTGGAACGAGAAAGCGATTGAGGTAAATATGTAATTGATCATAAGTAATGATAAGACCAAATATATTAGAATTGTTTTTATAAGTAATAAAATCGAGCATCACTGATAAGACTGCGTTTTTGTAGTTGTGAATATAGAGCATATTGAGAAGACAAATTTAATTTATTGAAATCAAAATTAATTTGACAAACATCTTTGGTTGTGCTTATCAACAGTATTGGATATTGAGACATCGGAAATAATGGTACAAATGGTTATTTAAACCTGTTATGTATTCATCTTTAAATAAATGCGTGTTTATCGGCAACCCACTACTGGTTTGACAAAGCTTGACAAAACGAAACTGCCGGCAGATGGCAGCATGATCTGCACATGCCAAAGCTTGTTTATTTCAAGATGGCAGCGGACAAGGTAAATGAACTTCGAGCAAGTGTTTGGTAGATCATCTTAGTTTTCTCGCGAACCTTCCAATATGTGTAGCAACGATCACGAGGAATAATTTCAGAATTGTTAAGTTGTGTACATGACAAGTTTTGTCAGAGAGAAAAATCCGACCTTTAATTGTGGTCTTGCATTAATTTTGGCTTTCGCCGGTGGAAATTCCCACCGATCCCCCTCTCATTGTCCCTGACACAGTGTGAAATATTTGACAGCCTGTGGTAAATCGGATGCAAAACTTTTTGCATGTCTTAAAGTGTAAGCACATGAGTGCATACCATATGACCAAAGAATGCGCATTCTAATCCGGCAATTTATTTACTAGCAGGCTTTAAATTTACCCCCCCCACCCCCTCAAACGATCACCCTTACTAATATACCGGTGCATAAACTAATATTTTGTCAGCGGAGTACCTGTGTCCTGCAAGAATATGTATGGTTTTGTAACGCGCAAATAGAAAGAGCTTCTGTGCAAAATTAGTATTTAAAAATGAGTATTTAAAAACGATAGCAAAAGTTTTAAGTTTAAAACACAAATTTGAAAAGTACATGTAAAATGACTTAGGGAATCTATAATTTATAACATTATTGGCATTTGTACAACAATATATTTGGTGAAAGTAATGTATAACCATCTTCATATGCTACCTCTTTTTTCATGCCCTATTAATATGAAGCAAAATTCTGATACGTGGATACATGTACTAGCTAGTACAATATGACAGCCTTATCTTATACCAAGTGCTACAGAATTGAATATTTTGGTCTGTAGTCTTAGCTATACAAGCATAGGCACATACTAGGGTAGTACCCATAGTTTGCAGAAAAAAAAAAAAAACAGAATATTCATTCAGTTCTTATTTAAGAACCTTGCAATTTTTATATCCCAGGAAGCCATAGCCATTGTGCTGGATGTAGGTCCATCCATGAGTGAGTCTCCTCCAGGGACGTCTACACCCCTACAGCAGGCAGGAACAGCTATCACTATGATACTACAGAGAAAGGTTGGGACTACAGTGTATTACTGGCTAGAGTGTGTGTATGTGTATTTATGTGTGTGCGCGTGTGTGTGTGTGTGTGTGTGTGTGTGTGTGTGTGTGTGTGTGTGTGTGTGTGTGTGTGTGTTGAGAGGGGGGGAGGAGGAGGGGTCATCACTACAACATGAAGGGACAGCTATCAGCATGATACTACAGTGAAAGGTTTGGACTACAGTGTATTGTTAGCTAGTGTGTGTGTGTGCATGTGTGTGCGTGTGTGTGTGTGATTGTGTGTGTCTTCTACTCCCCAACAACAAGGATAGGCAGGGACAGCGGTCACTATGATACTGCAGAGAAAGGTTTGGACAAAGTATTTCATGTGTGGGGGGGGGGGGGATGAGGGCATGTGACTAAGTCACCCCTACAACAGGGGCAGCGATCACTATGATGCGAAAGAGAAAGGTTTGGACAATGTATTACTTTTTTGTTTTTGTGTGTGTGTGTGTGTGGGTGCGATGTAAGTGTGTATGTGTTTATTGAGAAGAAATAATTTTCTGCGGGTATAAGAGGCAAACACATTGCTTTATTTAATTAATAAGCAATTTTAGTTTCTAGTCTAAGTAGAAAAAACAACACAGCTACATGGATAATGAGTTTTTTGTTGTAAGAAAATGGAATCACTTATGCATGCTTTATAATATTATGTCTTTTGTCCATGATATTTTACTATGCGACTAATCACTTAAAGTTTCTTTTTGCAGATATTTGCTAACTCTAAAGATGAGATTGCTCTCATATTGTTTGGCACACCTAACACAGCCAATGAACTCGCGGATGGGGAGGAGTACCAAAACATCACCCTGGTGCGGCCACTAGGACTTCCCGACTTTGACCTGCTCAAATATGTACAGAATGAAATACAGCCTAGCAACATATCTGCTGACTGTATCCTTTATACACAGAACATATCATTAATGATTTTTTTTTTTTTGGGGGGGGGGGGGGTAATGAAATAATTTTATTACTGGGTGGCTAATTTGGTTTCTATTCAGGCTTAAAGTGAAGCTTTGTGCAAACATATGAAAGATCAGATTCATTGATGCTTTGTGCATTTTGTATTCTGTTTGTCTTGTTTTGAAGGGTTCAAATGAGAAATAAGTCTGGCTTTCAGTTATTTTACACACTGTGTAGAGTTTAGAGATTGTGTACAGTATGAAGAATAATTATATAATCTGTAAAAAATGACATTTCGTCAACTGTACAGCAGAAAAACATCATTATCAGTTTATCGACATTGTCCTTAATATTGCGCCAGTTATTGATGCAATGGTGGTTGCACTAAATCACTTAGTCAAACAAACAGAGTAAGTAGAACCTGGGCTAGTCCATGCCTTAACCTTTTTAATACAGGGGCTTGGGACTTACAGGCTTTCGAAACAGCTCATTTGAATGAAGATGTAGTAGCCTTTATTAGGTATTCATTCAAATCAGGACTCAGCTGTTTTAACAGTGAACATTCGTTGTTTGATTCACTTTTATAAATTAAAATTAATAAATCTCATATTTGATTTAGCATTATCATGTATGTGTTCTATAGATTGTAACTGAAGATTTTAGTACTGTTTCAAAAGCATGGACATACACACACACATACAGAGAGAGAGAGATTGAGTGAGAGAAAAAAGTTTTTTTGTGTGTGTTGTGTGTGTGTGCTTTTATTTGAGATCATGTTTTTTTCAATTTCAGAGGAAAGAAGTTTGGAGGTGGAAAACGTTTGATCTTGTTCTCAGATCTTGGCGGAGAATTTGCTGACGACCAACTTGACGACATTGTAAATGGCATGAAGCAGGCAGAAGTGCAGTTAAATGTAATGTGAGTATCAAGAAACTGTATTATGTCTATTAATTTGATTATGATTTTTATTATATGATTATATAAAATAATTTTATTCTTAATTGCTTCTTATGATTTAATTTAGGTTAAAAATTGAAGGTATAACAAAGTCAACTAATTGTGAAATTAAAATTGATATGTGTTATTTTAAACAAGTTTTTTGACTGATTATTTTGCTTTCTCAGACTTAATATTTTTTCCCTTTCAGTAATTAGAGCAATCCATGTAAAAATATTTCTTATAAAATTTCACCACTTTCCTCATTCCAATTATCTGTTTCAGATATATAATTTTTGTAACTTACCCAGCATTTTTCAGAACTTTAGGACTCGTAGGCTTTTTCAAGCCTTACAATTTATCAGTTTTGATAAACTTTATTAAATACCATAAAAAAAAAGATATGACACGTCTCTCTTTGTGTTACCAGTGGTCCAGATCTAGATGATGATGATGAAGATGAAGATGACAGAGGAGCCAGACCCGCAGCTAATGGACACTCTAAGCCAAAGTCAGCACAGCAGAGAGCTGGAGAGGCCATGGCAAGACACCTGCTGTCACAGGTAGAAGGAGAGAGTTATTCCTTCAGGTAAACTGCCAGGGATTTATAGCCCTTTTGACACCGAGTGGTACAATTAAGTTTTATCTTTCATTAATTAGAGCAAACTTTTTCGTGTACCACATTAAATTAGTTTTGATCAACTTTATTAAATGGTGAAAACATGGTAATTGGGGAGGCCATGGTAAAACACTTGCTGTCACAGGTAGAAGGAATTTTTTCTTTCAGGTAAATTGTCAGGAATGTTATCCCCTTTTGACATTGAGTGAACATGTTTATTTAACACTTTGTTTACAAGCAAATCTTGTCAGCCACAGTAATGCAGTACATTGAACTGGACCGGTTAAAGAGATCCACATCTTAGACTACATTCCCATAACCTTAACATACTAGCAGGATCAATCTATCTCAGCGGGGATTCTCTCTAAGGTGCTTAATTGTCTAGCACGCCCCCTTGGAAAGCAACATGAACAACATTATGGACCTTGAAGTTGTACTGACTTAAAGTTACAAGGGGGGCTTACCAGACATTTAAGCCGCTTCAACTGAATGCAATGTAGAGAGAATCCCTTAGGAGTTAGATTGATCTAGCTAGTTCAATAGGGTAATGAGAACGGTCCCTAAAAGATCAACAACTTGATTTCCTGCCATTAAGTAAGAGTCACCTTAGGGAGCTTTTGTGCATGACATATTATTTAACTTAAGCAGCAGGAAGAGAACTTGTGTGAAAGGGATAAAAACCAGTGTATCATAATTACATGATAAAAGCTGACCTGATGGTAATTATAACATCTTATATTTCAGTGAAGCACTGCCAGCCCTCAGCTATTTCCAAAACAGAAAGGTTAAGCCCACGCCGTGGAAGTGTAATTTAGAGATTGGGAATAACCTGCAAATAGCTTTAGCTGGTTATGTCAGGGTGAGTGAAGGTGATTGTGCTAGATGTGACAACATTGTGTAAGATGTGACATTGTTTTAGTGTGATAACACATATCGTTTTCAACAAAACTATATACTCAGTGGATGGCACATTTTGTTAGGTGTGACAAGTTATTTTCTCAGTTTAACTGAGTAAATAAAACCTGACAGTGTAAATGAATAAAAGATGTACATGAATCTAAAGATGTAAAAGATGACTGAAATATATCTAATTTGCACATGAGTAAACATTTTACAGACATTAAAGACAGTCTAGGTCAAGAATTAAGTCTGCTCCCTTGACTCTGAAGGGTTTAGCATCACCTTTGTGTAGATATTCAGCTCAATGGTTGAATAATTTTAGGTAGTTGAACAGAAAGCTCCCAACTTCAAGAATTGTTACGCCAAAGATATCGATTCCGAGGTCACCACCAGTAGGTCATATCACCTTGACGACGAGGCCAGCACTGAGGTCGAGAAAGAGGAAACTGCACAAGGTATGGGGTAATGAAGTCAACTACTATAAAATTCATTTGAATTCTTTAAAAGGGCACTCATCATCAGAGAAGAATTTTATCAGCTGTGTTATTTTATAAGAGTACCAGTAAAGTAATTTTTTCAATAGAAATAAAACAATATTTTTTCAGTCAACAGCTTTATAATTTACCGCCAATATTTTGATGTCTAACAGAGCATCTTCATCAGGGAATGAGGCAATCCAGGTGAATAGCCTCTATCCAGGAGATATACTGATCCTGATATACCCACCCCCCATTGCCTTATCACTTATCATGCATGTCAGTGTTGTTTCCAGCTTGAAAAGTGAAACAATAAAGGCATTAAATTAAGAATGTCCACTTAAAATATATATTGTAAACTATGAAATATTAAAACATGCATTAACACAATTTAATTTCCATTACAAGTATAATGTATTTTTCACACCTATCAACTGTTACACTCTGTAACAATTATGTTAACAGTACGTAATCATTATGATGGTGATGGTTCATGATGTGATTTCAACATTTAATTTTATTTTATCATATTTCAGGTCACAGATACGGTAACACATTGGTGCCTTTCAGTGAAGATGACATAGCAAACATGAAACTGAAAACTGTGAAGTGTTTTAAGCTTTTAGGATTTACTGAAACTAAAAATGTAAGTGAGTGGAATGGTTGTGGTAAAATGAAATATAGAGATCAGATTGCTTTCACTATTATAAGGTAAACTGTAGAGTGTTTATTTATTTATTTATTTCGTTTTTTTAATGTAGAATTAATAAAAATTCATACAAGTCAGTGTTAGAGGCATTATCATTATTATTATTATTATTATTATTATTATTATTATTATTTAGGTGAAGAGGCATCACTTCTTAGGAAATAACGTCCAGTCCTTTGTTGCTGAAAAGGATGATGAGGTAAAGTGTTGGATGCTTTCATTATTAATTCACATGTAAGATAGAATTGTGTTATGTTTTATAGAAGACATCCCATATAATGCACTGATTGGGTGATTTTTCTCCTGATATTTGCATATACCATTTTTTGTTGTTAGACAAAACTGTAATGTTTACATTTGCAGTATTTTATAGGCATGTGTCTAATTTATAAGAGGTCTAGTAAACACTGAAAGTGAAAGATTTATTACTTTGTTTTGTATTTTTATTTATTTGCTTATTTAGCAGTAGCTGGTTGAGTAAAAACAAGTATAAGTACTATAAATACAAGAAAATCTATGCCGTCATTTCCTAGCTATGATTAAAAGTAGTAAGTTGAAATTCCTGACATCATTTCTATTATTATCATTATTATTATTGCTCAAGTAAAATGAAGTAACTGTGTATATATCTCTCCAGGCAGCAGGGGTGGCTCTCTCTGCCCTCATCCGCGCCCTCCACGAGACCAACTGTGTCGCCATAGTGAGGAAAGTGTACAGGGCCAATAGCGATGCCAAGCTAGGGGTGCTGTCACCACACATCAAGGCTGGATATGAGGTGTGTGTGTGTGTGTGTGTGTGTGTGTGTGTGTGTGTTTTAAAAATATTTTTGAATAACGTTTTAGAAAAACATTTTTAAAATATTTAAAAAATGTTTTGAGAAAAACATTTATAAAATGTTTTATAATAAACTTTGAATAATGTTTGCTAAAAAT